GGACCGTACTGTCTAGGACAGCTGAACTGTACTATCTGGGACTGTGGGACCTTACTATATGGGACCATGGGACCCTACTATATGGGACAAAGGTGCCATACATAGTACCTGGGACAGTGGGAATATACTATCTGGGACCGTACTGTCTAGGACAGCTGAACTGTACTATCTGGGACTGTGGGACCTTACTATATGGGACCATGGGACCCTACTATATGGGACAAAGGCGCCATACGATCTGGGGCAGCCGGACGTGTATTATCTGGGACAGTTCTACCCTACTATCTGTGACAGTGGGACCAAACTATGTGGGCCAGTGGCAATGTATGTCTACCTGGGACAGTGATCTGGGACTATGGCACTGACTCCAAAGTCCACATGACACACGATACGGCACGCACCCTGAGACAAAGTCACCCCGCCAGCCATAGCCATAAATGGAAGCTGTTGTTTTGACTCTTTTGATTAAAAAAAAAAAAAAAAAAAAAAGATGGAAGCTGTTTGTCAGCTTTGCTTCACGCCTTCCGAGTCCAGACAGTACGTCAGCGATCGGTGGTCTCGCAAAAAAAATGCCACGCCAAGGATTTACAGATCGAGAGCTCTTTCTTGATTCCATGGGTGGTGGTGCATGGCCATTGGCCGTTCTTAGTTCATGATTTTAAATAATAATAATAAAAAACTTTAAAAAAAGTACAGCGACTTCAGAAACAGTCCTCTGCCTAAACCAGCCTTGCTCCTCTACCATTTGCTCGCTCGCAGAAAAGCACAAATGATGGTGAGAATGGCATTTTCACACCACGTAACGTCTGGTCTGCTTGCGAGGATTGGAAGCAATCAACGGCCAAATTGCACCTGTACCAAGATATCCATCGATGGCCTTGTTAATTGCTCCCACTCGGCGCACTTTCTGAGTTTGCTTTTCCGTTTTGACTCTTTGAGGCCATAGCAGCACCAAAAAACACAAACAACAAGGGTATCGTCCACCTACCCCAAGGGTATCGTCCACCTACCCCAAAGGTATCGTTCACCTACCCCAAGGGTATCGTCCACCTACCCCAAGGGTATCCAATTATTCATGGATATCCTCTCGCTGTGTGCGCCTGGCCTTCAACACCGTTGGGATCTGCATGGCCGAGATATTGATATTGCATTTTCGTTCATCGGATTCCAATCATTCCATCCTCGTGTGGATTCGAACTTGGGTCAGTGTTTCAACAGTTCATTCATGGGAGTACCAACTGAGCTTAGACTCGGTGGTGAAGAGAAAAATGGGCTCTTAAAAAAAAAAGTCATAACTATTAACTTCTCATTTAGTGAAAACAGATTGTTTTTAAAAATGGTGATCGATATGCTTCAATGTATGTAGTATGTACCCAGCCTTGTTGTGCCTGAACTATACAGAGCGAGTAGAGTAGACATGACTGGTCACAGCAGGTGGAAAATCCCGGATGCTGTTGACGAGTATGAAAGGTGAATTAGGTAATCAATCAATCTCACCATGATACTCAGAAGGCGACTAATCGATCTGTGTGTGGAGTGAACACATGTTTTTTCCGTTTTTGTTTGTTGTTTTGAAGGTTTTGGCGCTGTGCCAGCAGCACACATAGGGAATTCTAAACCACAGCCTTGCATTGCATTGATCCAGGCCAATCATCCGAAAAGGAACAGCGAAACTACCTGTACGTGTAAGATATACGCAGCCAAACCCGTTGCTCACACACACACACACACACACACACACACACACAGAGAGAGAGAGAGAGAGAGAGAGAGAGGACTGTGCAGTTGTGTGGCGAAACACACCTTTTTCCATTCTAAGGCGTCCTCCATACCAAGCGTGCAGAATTTCAGCATGTGGACCTTTGTATGAACAACAAAGGGCTGAGGATCTTCAGAAGGCGCAACTGGAAGTATGGACAACCGAGTGTCCTTGTCAGGAACGCACTGCAACAACAAGAGGTCATAACAAAAAAAAGAAGGGAAGGGAGGAGGAGGAGGAGGAGGAGCAGCAGGAGCAGTTGGGGAGGAAGAGAAGCAGTAGAAGAAGTAGGAGGAGGAGGAAAAGGGAGAGGAGGAAGAGAAGCAGGGGGAGGAGGAGAAGCAGCAGCAGTGGGAGGAGGAGGAGGAGGAGGAGGAGCAGGGAAGCAGCAGCAGTAGTTGGAGGAGGAGGAGGAAGAGGAGAAGCAGTAGCAGCAGTGGGAGGAGGAGCAAAAGGGGAGAGGAGGACGAGAAGCAGGGGGAGGAGCTTGAGGACAGAGCAGAAGGAGACAGACGAGGGAAGATGTGAAATCCTGGCTCAGTTTATCTGCATGTCGAAAAGATGGTTGGCCCAGTACAGTTGCGAAAAGAAGAAAAAAAGAAAAAGAAAAAGGGGAAAGAAAAACAGAAATAAAGAAGAAAAATAATTTCAAAAGAAGTCCGAAAAGTTTTCTATGTATATTGTCCTCTCTGTCGTCAAGGACAGACTCGTTCTCGAGCCTTTTCTTATTCTCTCCTTTGCCTTCTTCTTCTTTCCACACTCCTTACTTCCCCTAACTTTCCCTTTTTCGTTCTTCGTTCGTCGTTCGTCTTCTCTCCATCCCTCTCCCCTGTGTTTATTCCTCCCCCCCGTCTCCCCTCCCCCTTAACTCTGCGTCTTTCTCACGGCGTACAAGTGGGGACCGCCATGGCACATGAAGGTGCAGGGGCCGTCAGGTTGGAATTCTATGTAGTAACCCTGAACCCTAAACCCTAGAAGAATTCGAAGCACTTAGTCGAGGAATTGGTCCCCGGCGGGTCATGAATTCAAAGCACCTGGTCCTGAAAAAGTGCTCTGGTCGAACTTGCTAGAATAGAGGCTCCCATGTCCCAGGACAAAAAACAGAAACTCTTTTTTTTGAAAAAATAAATTTCTACTAATTTTCTAGTACATAATTTGTGGAGTACGAGATCCAATGTCTCTTCTTGCGTGGACTCGCTAAAGTCAGGCCTTCGGCTTCGCCCACTTCGTGTCCTGAGGATGCCTGGAAGTCCATGAGGGAAACTGGTCACTTGTAATCCAGTGAAACTCCGCTCGCGCTCAACTTCATTGATGTGGCGAGCCTTGTACGTGAGAGGCGCGGTGAAGGGGGAGTTAAAAAAGAAGAATGAGCAAAATGAATGGTTTCAGTGTGCTCTTCATGTTGGTCTTGTTTGTGCTTTTTTTTTTTTTTTTTTTTTT